CCTGGCGCAGCGCAAAATCCTCTCCGCGGCTCCTCCCTACATGGCTCTCGCTCCCCGTCCTCGGCTTCTATTCCTTTTTTTGCGAAGCTCTTGCAGCTTCGACTAGATATGTCCGATCGAGCGTCGGGGTGAGGGAAATGCGTCGTGTCGTGGAGCCACGGACGGTGACGAGGTGTGACCGGGTCGAAAACTGTTATACATTGGCTCGCGATCGTGATCGTCGCTCGGCGAAAGTGCAACAACATCGACGACGCTAATCGCGGGCCGATGATTTTGTTATTATTCCGAAATCTGTTAGTTTTTATTTATTTATTTTTTTTTTTTTTTTTTTTTTTTTTTTATATATATATATATAATTTTTTTTAATTATTATTATTATTATTATTATTTTTTTTGTTTTTTTTTTGTTTTGTTTTTTTGGTTTTGTTCGGCGTAATTTGAGTCTGATGGCGACGGAAGAATCATTGAATTGCCGCTGTGTTTTCTTTCTTTTCTCGATTTAGCGATAGCATCGTGGCGGCGCTATTATTAACCTTGTTGTTTATTTTTTTTTAAACCACTTGGTTTAGCACGATACGATCGACGAATCGAGAAATGGGAAAGTAGTGACATCGCCGTTTTCGGATGACATTAATAATACAGCTTCGGAGCGCGCGCGTCTTTTTGTTTTTTTTTTTTGTTTTTGTTTTGTTTTGTTTTGTTTTGCATGCACGGATCTAAAATACGAAAGGCAAGATTGAAAATTACGGGAATGTCGAGCCTCGCGCTCGCTCAGTGGCACACTTTTCTCGCTCCTTCATTTTAAGCGAAGTTGCCATAATCGACGATCAATTACATGGATATTTAGCGGGAATCGAAGCTGCGCCCGCCAGTTTTGCCGTTGTGCGAGAGCAGCGTGTGCATTTTCAACGAGTGCTGAATGAAAAACTTTTTTAAGAAAATGAAAAAAGGAAAAAAAAAAAAAGAAGAAAAGATTAAAAAATAAGGCGAAGAACAATTCCTCACTGAAATAATTGTAAAAGAATTGTCGATGAGAAAAAAATCGTCCATGAAAGAAAATTTACTACTGTGTAACTATTTAAAGTAAAATCTATTTGAATGTAAAAGCGTCAAGACATTAAAAAGGTACAAAAAGAAAAATGAAAAAAAAAAAAAGAAAAAAGTCAGAATAAAGAGAGAGAAAAAATGGAAATATTAAGGAGAAGTGTCAATCGAACGGTTCAATTGTTATTACATTTTAATTCTTATTACATTTTAAGCAGGAATAGGAGATCGCGATTTTTTTTTCTCCGTTAGAGGATATTCATTCAACGACGAGTGCTAAAACAGTGTGAAATAAAGACGTTCGAGTCATTAATGGCGAGATAAAGATGGAAAATGTTAATTCTTGGGTTGGATTTTGTTTGCGCGTTGAAAATAGCGAGTCGAACGAATCTGTGCTGGAGGTAACGCGTGCGTAAGACATTAGAAAAGAAATATATGTCCGAAGGTAAAAAATAGGTGAAGCTGCGTGTAGAGTAGAATGCGGGGGAAAAAAAAACTGTGTGCGAAAAAGATGGTCGTGATGAGGAGGAAGAAGGGAGATTATCGAGAGCAATGAGAACGAACGGGAATAGCAAACATGAAATTTAGCTGCGCGACCATTGGATTTTCCTTAACAATAAACAACACCCACTTATCGTTTGTCGATCGGCCCATATGGAATGTTCACACAAACATGAGGCGGTTAAGAAGTCGTTAATCCGTGTGCAAAGCTTGCGACCTCGAGCACGGCGACGGCGGAATTTCAGTTTTCTCCTCCTCCTCCTCCTCCTCCTCCTCCTCCTCCTCCTCTTCTTCTTCTTCTTTCATTTTTTCAATAACTTTTAATCAGGCGATTCATTCCATTCACCCAATGTATTCGCTTTAAAGTGTTTGTGTGAAGATTCTTTGATGATTTTACCGAGACTAATCGATGTCGATGCCCTTTGAAAGTTTTGTTCTCCGAGGAGATAACAACGTCGTCTTCTAACAAATTCAATCGACCAAGAGTACACGATATAAAGTAATTCAGTGGGTCCTCGAATCTCTCCTCCTCCCTTATATCAATCGACTTTCTTACTTTTCCTTTTAGCAAAACTCACTTTCTTCCTCCAGGCACACACTAGCAGTCATCGTTTCGCATAAACAGCAAATAATAAAATATGCATCAAAGCAGCATCCTACCGACACAAAAATATTGTACATTTTCTTGATAACGCTACCACTGTAAAACCATACGAGCTCGAAATCTTTAACATTTGTCAACAAAAAAAACAGTGCGAAATAAAAGGATGATAGAAGTGCATGCACCTCGATACAGAATAAAAAAAAAAAAAAAAATCACAATTTAACAGAGAAAACACACGCGCGAAGGACTATTATAAAAATTAAAAAACAGCAGATCGATTTGTAATGTTTTATGTGTAACATTCGATTGAGGATTGTATGTAATTGTGTACGTATTATGTGATATGTATGCGCCACTGCCTGCGCATACACGCGTATATGTATATTTTACAATGCAGTCCGTGTGTTAGATACATTCTCCTTTTTCTATCGTGACGAAAAATAAATTATTCTAGTTAATAAAAATTATTATGTTTTATTTAAATTGCCTAGATCCTTAGATCCGCTCCCCCCCCCCTCCCCCGAACTAATGAGATTGGTATTCGAATTGACATTCGTTTAACATTAATCGTATAAATGGTATTGTATTTGATGAAAAATTTATGCTCGAGGGTATGTGCGATCTTAAAAAAAAAAAAAATCATTGAAGTCAATATGAGCGGGCAAATATTATTTTGTTTAAAAAGCTGTTGCAATGAAAAATTTTGACAAATCTTAAGGTAAATGTATTTTATGCCAATTGATAAAGTTAAAAATTAAGCTTATTTTTCAACAACAAACGTAAATGCATTTTCAGACTATCGGATTTTTGTTATTCGTTGGTTATTCGTTGGTTATTCCTTGTTTATTCGTTGGTTATTCGTTGGTTATTCGTTGGTTATTCGTTGGTTATTTCGTTGGTTTAATAAATCCTTGGATGTGATCAAATTTACGAGGAAATTACATCGGTATTGGATTATATTATATACAGTTGAACTTGGTCGAATAAACTTTGTAACAAATTTGTTTTTTTTTTTTGTTTTTTTTGTTTTTTGTTTTTTTTTTTTTATGAATTACATTTTATTCCAATAACACAATGTAATTGATAGCATAACACACCATCGACTTTATTATAACATTAATAAATAATATACCAGGTGATAATTATTTCGCTGTAATTTATTAATCAATACAGTACATACTTATAAAAAAGATAACGGAGATGGATAATTTCATTTAATTTTCTGTTTTTGTCTCTTTTATTTTTTAATTTTTTATTAAAATAACAGCTAATTAAAATAAATTTTATTTACAGTTACAACTGTATCGATACATTATTGTAAGAGTTGCGAGAAAATACAAAATTATTTTGTCGGATAACCGTGTTGCTTCGGCAATTAGCTACAATCGATTAGTTCTATTTAAAAAATCTAATTATAAAAAATACTCTGTCTTAACGCAGTGAATTTTAATTTTTTACATGCAATGCAAAATTATAATTGTACTGTTTGAAAAGGAAGTATTTGGCTAAAAGGCTAATTTTACCAACATCTACAAAAATGTCCAAGAAAATCATGCATTGGGTAGAAGCATATTTGGCTTAATAATATCTCGATATGAAGTATTTAATAAGTTTAGCTCTTATTAACTATTCACAGTTATTTCTATTTGTTGATATTATACAGATTGCAGTCATTACGAGTAGGTAGAAAAAAAAAAAATAAAATAACGCGACAAAGCAATTATTTCTTAGTTCATTAGGCGCGAATTAAGCGAAAGAGAATAAATACATTCTGTACATACATTACTATGAAGAAGATCGCATTTTGTTTAAAATTAATTGCATAATTAAGTCCATAACAAGATTTTTGAATTCCTGAAAAAACTTGTAGGACGATTATTTGATCGACTGTACAATTATTTAATGCATCAATAATTAAACTTACAAAGAATATGTTTGAATTGTGGTTTCCTTTGCCTTTTATTTTTTTTTTTTTTTTTTTTTTTTTTTTTTTTTTTTGTTTCTTTTCATCCTTTATTATCTCATAATTATTTTACTTTATAAAATCTTCATAATTTTTGCCATTGCGTCTTCGTATAACAGCAGAATCGCCTCAAAATCTCAATAATAGCACGGGATTAAACGGACATTGTACAAATAATTTCATCGCTTAAGTCACGCTTAGTCCTTCCTACATAACAATTACTAATCGACTCAATTTTAACTATTTTAAGATACATATTAGACATACGATTAGATATTGAAAATTCGCTTAATGCCTCGAAAATTACGTCAAATTCATGATAAATAATTCTACCTGCCGCCACCCCCCCCCCCCCACCCCCCCCCCCACAATCCCCCAATCG